TCCAGTAAATACGGACCGAACAGAAGATCCGCAAAGAGAACTGACCAGAGTATACTTTATAGAATTCAGATCATTATATTCGTACGGAAGGCGATATATTGATATCCTTTCCAGATTCTCAAGAAAACAGATAAGACAGATATTCAGCTTTATGTCTCTATGGAAACACGACAGGTACCCTTACGAGGGGAGAGTATCAACTCGGCGTTTATAAACCCTCTCTGCAAAGGAGGTAGACGCATGGTGGGTTAGGTATATACAGTGTTCTTCATTGCAGAGAAAATTGTTGTTTATCTGCCTGTCTCGTCTTCATTGAGATAGTTGATGAATTACAAAAATATATCGCGTTCCAGTTATGAATATTGAAAACAATATCCAGACTTTTCATAGATTCATATTCTATGTAGGTCTCACGATTCAAATTTGAAATTGATACTTAGTTTTAGATCTCAGCAGCACATTATCTGGCCTTCAAGGTCCATAATATTACCCACGTAATTGAACATGTGGAAGATGCCTACTGGAAAAACTACTATACGGAAAGAAAGCGGATATGTAGCAATCTAGTTACGGATGTTGAAAATATTATTCAGGTATGTCTCAGATTCAACATCTATGTATTTCCTCTAATGATATTTTCTGATTCAAATGATGTACTTCGATTTGAATGTGATGTTTAGTTGCAGATCCAAGAAGCAGTGTTTGATACTTGCCACTCAATCGGAGAAGACCATCCAGTAAATACGGACCGAACAGAAGATCCGCAAAGAGAACTGACCAGAGTATACTTTATAGAATTCAGATCATTATATTCGTACGGAAGGCGATATATTGATATCCTTTCCAGATTCTCAAGAAAACAGATAAGACAGATATTCAGCTTTATGTCTCTATGGAAACACGACAGGTACCCTTACGAGGGGAGAGTATCAACTCGGCGTTTATAAACCCTCTCTGCAAAGGAGGTAGACGCATGGTGGGTTAGGTATATACAGTGTTCTTCATTGCAGAGAAAATTGTAGTTTATCTGCCTGTCTCGTCTTCATTGAGATAGTTGATGAATTACAAAGATATATCGCGTTCCAGTTATGAATATTGAAAACAATATCCAGACTTTTCATAGATTCATATTCTATGTAGGTGTCACGATTCAAATTTGAAATTGATACTTAGTTTTAGATCTCAGCAGCACATTATCTGGCCTTCAAGGTCCATAATATTACCCACGTAATTGAACATGTGGAAGATGCCTACTGGAAAACCTACTATACGGAAAGAAAGCGGATATGTAGCAATCTGGTTACGGACGTTGAAAATATTATTCAGGTATGTCTCAGATTCAACATCTATGTATTTCCTCTAATGATATTTTCTGATTCAAATGTACTTCGATTTGAATGTGATGTTTAGTTGCAGATCCAAGAAGCACTCAATCAGAGAAAACCATCCAGTAAATACGGACCAAACAGCAGATCTGCAAAGAGAACTGACCAGAGTATACTTTACAGAATTCAGATCATTATATTTGTACGGAAGGCGATATATTGATATCCTTTCCAGGTTCTCAAGAAAACAGATAAGACAGATATTCAGCTTTATGTCTCTATGGAAACACGACAGGTACCCTTACGAGGGGAGAGTATCAACTCGGCGTTTATAAACCCTCTCTGCAAAGGAGGTAGACGCATGGTGGGTTAGGTATATACAGTGTTCTTCATTGCAGAGAAAATTGTTGTTTATCTGCCTGTCTCGTCTTCATTGAGATAGTTGATGTATTGATGAATTACAAAAATATATCGCGTTCCAGTTACGAATGTTGAATATTCTATGTAGGTCTCACGATTCAAATTTGAAATTGATACTTAGTTTTAGATCTGAGCAGCACGACATCGTTTGGCCTCTAAGGTCCTTAATATAACCCACGTACGTAATTGAAAATGTGGAAGATGCCTACTGAAAAAAATACTATTCGGAAGGAAAGCGAATATGCAGCAATCCAGTTACGGACGTTGAATATATTATTCAGGTATGTCTCAGATTCAACATCCATGTAATAATTCATCAAATGATATTTATTTTTGATATGAATGTACTTCGATTGATATGTGATGTTCTGTTGCAGATCAGAGAAGCAGTATTTGATACTTGCCACTCAATCGGAGAAAACCATCCAGTCCATACGAACCGAACAGAAGATTCACAAAGTGAACTGATCAGAGTATACTTATGGTGACTAGTTATGTTAAATACTTGGTATATTATGATTTGATAGTCTGACATTGATGTGACATTTTTATAATATAATTACAACTCAAAGTTTCATAATTTGTATCAATTGTATCCAGAATTTGGTGACCCCGACGTGATATTATGGAGCAGTTGAGCGAAGGCGAGATCATACAACTTCAAGACAGTTCAACATCCATGTTAGTGATTCGATGGAATTTTCGGATATGAAGGAAATACTGACAGAGTACATTCAAACAACTTATAAGGACCAATTCCACAACACTCTGACTATAGGAGCACTCTTTCAGAGATTTCATCAAGAATCATACCAAATGATGTTTCGAATACTATTTTTACGAAGAAGATCGATAGACTTGAAATATCGTGCGAAATTCTGATCGTCAAATTTGATGGAAATAATAACAAATATGATCCGTTGGAAGCAAGACTCGATATTTTGGAAAAACATCGTGAAAGTTCAACATTTCCAAACAATATCATGCCTCATGACATCATCTCCTCAGAAGACACATCAACTGGACATTCCAAGAAAGAGCAAGAATCAAATAAAATCAATTAGCCTACCAACTTTCTGGAAACATGAGCCTGCATTATGCATTATGCCAATAAATTTGGGAAAGTGATTCCAATGTTGGACTGCAATATTGCGCTCTGGGTTGGTTTTGTAGGTCTCTCTGTATATGTTTTTTCCTAATATCCATTCGTCTCAAACACACTGTGTATTTTTTAAATATTCATCGATAAGATTTCCATCTGCCGCTGGTTTTTCTGCTCACCCTGTAATAAATTATAATATTCCATTTGGTACAAGATATTTGATCTGCCTCTAAAATTCAGCTCGCTCTGTATATGCCTCTGCCTCTGGTATTGTAGGTCGCTCTGTTTATTTTTTTCTCTGATATTCATTCGTTCCGAACACACTGTATATGTATTCATTTTTCATCCAACTCATACGTCAACTGTTACACGTCATCGGTCATCTGTCACCGGTCATCAACTGCCATCTGTCATATGTCATCTGTCATCGCTCTGTTTATGTTTTTTTTCTGATATTCATTCGTCTCGAACACACTGTACATTTTTTCAATTTCCATCAATAAGATTTTGATCTGGCCCTGATTCTTTAGGTCATCCTGTATATGTTTTTCGATATTTCATTTAGTTCAAGATATTTGATCTGCCTCGATCTGGTTTTGTAGGTCGCTCTGTATATGTTTTTTCTGATATTCATTTGTCTCGAACACACAGTATATGTATTCATTCATCAATACGTCAACTGTCACACGTCATCGGTCATCTGTCACCGGTCATCAACTGACATCGGTCATAGGTCAAATTGCACAATTTTTAAAACTGTCTGATGTCATAAATTTTACCGGGCATAGTTTCAGAAGAACCTCGGCAAGTTTACTTTAGAGGAGACATTCTTGCTTGGAAGTCTACGAATATCGCTGAAGGGTATGTGCAGCAATCTCTCACAAAATAGCAAAATATTTCGAACCAAATTGTGGGTCACTGAAGTTTTTTATGAATATATCACGAAAACTGCATTGGCTCCAGATCTCACTTCTAGTGGTATTCAAATAACCACTGCTCAAAACTGCACTTTCAACATTAGTTTATATAAATTACTCTACCACAAATTGAAAATATGTAGGATGGAAGAGTGAAAATAACGTGCCCATAAGTTACACTGTATACCTACTTCTTTGTTACTTTCATCAATAAATTATTTGGAAATGACTCTTTATTTAAGGGAGGCGGAAAAATCATATGTATAACATGGGGGTAAAGTATATTCTATTCTTCATTTTCCTGCAATTTCACGTATTACTTTTTATAAGCCTACTTTTCGTCCTAGAATTAGTCACTCCATAAATGTATCTCCGAGTTGGATTTCCGAAAATATATTTAGCACACATGACATGAGTTCAGATACCCACATCGAGGTTTCCACCATTTCTCAATCATAAGGCCTGAGGTCATTCAGCTCATAGTTAAACTACTGCTCAGCTTGAAATCAGAATTCATTCAGTCAATTCAGTCAACCCTGGTATACAGTCTAAGAACAGTCTCTTTTGGTGAAATATATCAAGCTTTTAGTACAAATCATATGTTCCCTACCTCGCAAAGATTATGCTGGAGTAGTAAACTAGAGGATTGTTCAACTATATCTTGGTATAGTTGAATCAGGAATTCAATATGGAAATTACGTATGATACGCCAATGACCTCAATTTAACCTAAAAAACAACAAATGTCAAAAATCTAGTGTTTTTCCCAGAACTGAATAAGGAAGGAACTGTTTCACAATTGCTTTCACAAACACTTTTTTTAGATAAATAAACCGCCACAGAACTATAATGAAAATTCAGGGCGGTGAAGCTCGAACGAAACAAACTCAATGTGAATAATTGATTGGTTACGATTTTTTGATGTTCTTCAGTTATATTTTCCCTAATTGCTTCGCTCCTAGTGAAACAATGAATATATAGCCATTCTCTTTCTCATAGTTCAACCTACTTCCTGTGAGGAAATCGAGGTAAAAATTGATTGGTTTTTATTTTTTATCGTTTTCCAATCAAATTTTTCCTATTGCTTCCCTCCAAATGTATGTATGTCAATGTGTATAGAGCCAATATTTTCTTATCTCAGTTTTATGTGACAAAAGAAAAAAATATGAAGTTCGACAATGCTAGAAAAATCTTGAATAATTATTTATGGCACATTAATATCAAATAATTTTCTTACCTTAACACTATCATGAGCAGAGGCATCTGGGTTATAGCCACTATGAACGTCATACAAAATAATAATATCAAAAACGGGTATATGGTATGACAAGATGAATTACATGGACCTGCAGTTGCTACAGGCACTACGGTTACCTCCAAGTATGTACTTTCAACTTGGGAGGCGATACTCAGGGGAGATGATACTCCATCTTTCACTGTCATGTTTCCATGTATGCCTGAAAAATCAAAAATTTATTTATTAGCATTATGATTACTATTTAATATCAGTCAATTATATTCAAACTTGAAAAAGTAAACATGGGGAAAAAGTCCTGTGATATGATCCGAGGGATTGAAATCAATTAATATCTATATGTATGGAATTGAACAAAGGCGTTATTTTATACAACTGCTGCATTTAGCTTCCTCATCATCAGTACTTGACGAGGAAATATTATTTCCATAACGCTATCATCACTGTATGAATAACGAGAGAAATATTCACCCATATATGTACTATTTCTATATATGACGCATCGCCTATACGATATCTCAACAAACATGGGACGAAAATGAGAGGTACTTTTTGAATCTATAAGGACCATATACCTACTAAATATATACGGATAACATCCTATGTTTCAAATGGTCAAAAGTGAAGCCAGTTTTGAGGAAACAAATGACAGTCTGCGGGTGCAAATACCTATTTGCGCATGCGCGAAATTTGTCAAATTCACGAGTCAAAATGGAGGATGAATTTCATTTAAATTTTATTTATATATTATTATGTTGTTGAAGTTTCTTTCCGATGCCTCTGAAAATAATATTCCTCCGCGAAAATGTTTCAGATAGCAGAAAAAGTACATCAAAGCATTGATATTGATGTCAAAGCTGTCAGTGGAATGGGGAAAACAATGAGAGCCACATTCCACATTTGATTCCAATCATTTATATTTCGAAATTTCAGCGATTTGAGTGCTTTTGAAAATCGGCCGATGGTGAAAGACGAACAGGTATACAAAGCAAGAAATAATGTTAATTTGTTGAGGTGAAAAGTATACAGAAACTTGAGATCTTTGAGCTGATGAAACTTCTGCTGATTTGAAACTCTTGGTTTGTGTATGCTGAAGCCTCATGAAGTCAATTATGCTCCATTGATCCTTTTGCTTACTGAAATGTCAACTACATTTTTAGGTAGTCATAAAGAACTGCAGAACTGGAAGAATTCAGTTGTGAAGCTCACACCCAAGCAAGTGGTGAAGAAAGTCAGGTATAGATGTGATGTAACTAGCTTTTACAATCAAAGGAAGACAAAGATTGAAGAAACTGTTCCTACAAAATTAATCATGCTGTTGGTGAAAAAGAATAATTCTGAATTCTTGGTGAATTGTAAGTCTTATATAATATCTAACTTCCATAAATAGGTAACTGATATTCATTTTCCAGATAACAAATCAACTGCCCTACATAATTATATTTCTACAATGAAGCAGGAAGAACAACATTTGAAAAGATTCCATTACTATCAGAATCACACTTGAGCATGGTCTTGAGATTGAGAATAATGGAGATATTTCATAATCATTTTATTCTTATTCCTTGTATAGAATTAGAAGCTTTCAATTATTCACAGTGTTAATCATATTCTGGTTTATATGTTGAAATAAAGCAAAATTGAGTAGGTACTCATTACATTTTTTATTATAACAGAAAAAAAGAAAAAAAAATTCATTAGATTGGCTACTGAAATTGCACTTGTCTTTTCTATGGAAACATCATAGCCACTTTCACAAGATCAGTCCTGGTGGAAGTTGCATCAGCACTCTGGTAAGCAAGTTCTATCCTTCCAGCATCTTTGTCATTATCAGATTCATTTGATCCTCTTACTGAGGATGATTTGGTTGATTTAGCTGAAGAAGGATTAGAGTCATATTCTATTTTTTTATGTATGTTACCTTCCTCTTTCCCATTCATATCCATTGATCACAGGTTTTACATTTTGATGCATTGTAATTGGTAAATTCTGTGGAGGTATGTAATCTGCATCACAGAAAATGTACCAACTTCTGCAATTGTATTTGGAATCCCTTGAAACTTGAAAGAAAAGCACATTACATAGAACACTGTAAAGATATTTTTCTCAAAATGAAAGAAATTACCTTCATAATCTGTTTCTGAGAATAAGTATCTGCTACAGACAGGCACATATATTTGTAAATGGGCTTCCCAATTTTTGTAATGTTCTGCCACACTTCGTATAATTTTGCATATTATGTTGGGAAGCTGTACATTTGTATGTTTATAATGTCTTGCACTTGTTGGCCATTATTGGAAGTATTCTGAGACAATAAAAACTTCAGCAAACTCGTTCCAAAACCGCGAATTGAAGCTGTTTGCTTCCTCAGATCCACCAAAACTATATATGAATTCCAGTGAAGTCTCGGTCATGATTTCTTGTCTGAGGCTTCAGATTCAGAATGGATTCAGATATCAAAATATAAACATTGAATTTCAGGTTATGTACTAAATTCTGTCGATTTTCAATAATGATCATACGTTTACTGAAGAGGGCATCAAATTCGTATAGCAATCGTCAAACTCATGTCGTTTCTAATTTCGAATTGACGCATGCGCATAAGTCTATTAATCCCCGGGGACTATCTTTTGTTTTTATTTCTGGCATCAACTATGAGATCTTGTTATCCATATAGTTATTTATACGTATATGATAAGGACGGAAAGTGAAGGAGGGAAACAGCCATATTGGTTTGACAAGTTTCGTATAATTTTTTCCCTACGTCGGCATCAACGCCTATTGGTTGATTTCGTTACCTATAGAGACAGAAGTTGGTCCCGCTTTGAGGACAGCTATGATTTATATGAGTAGTAGATATATGTATTCACCAGTTTCTCCATTTTTGCATGGACTATGGATTTTGTTGGTCAAGAAATATATTTTCATGTGAGGTTATATGTAACGAATTTCATAATCGTGCTCAAAAATCGGTCCAAATCAATAGCAGTCAAAGAGTGCAAACCAATTCGGACCAGCAGTATCGAACACTAGCGCGCCCAAAACATTAAGCTACATAAGTAAGTTTGAATTTTCAAAATCTTGTGCTTGCAAATAAGTATAGGTAGATCTGAAACTGAAAATCATAGAACTGAAGTTAGGATTTAGGATAAAGCTTTCGATAATAATATCTTATCTGATGCATAGGTAGTACGGTACTAATAAAGGCTATTTTACCTATTAATAAAAAAAAATTGAGCTTCAGCCTCATCATTTTTCTCATACATTATCAATGGAGTTATCAATCATCCAGCAACAAGCATAACATAATGGGCATTTCCTTGAAGTAAACCAAATTTGAATCAGTAAATGACAAGTAGTGTAGTGTAGTCCTATCATGCTAAACATATTTGAGTAGATCACTTTCACCACATTGAAAAAGAATACATATACCTAGGTTAACCCTGAGCTATATTCAATATACAATATCAAGATCTGAAGCAAAAATGTTGGATTAAAGGGTGTGAGTTTAGAGATTCCACTGAACTGTATGAAATCATTATCGTAGTTCGTTTTATTAGCATCTGCAATGGCTCTAACCTGTTCCTCAAAGTTACTGACATTATGCTTTGCTATATTTTAACCACATTATAAAGGAATAAATCGAAGTTAACGGTATTATACTGTGGTATTATCAACAATTGATGATTTTTAATATTTTATTATGATCAAATAATTATTTACGAACCTAACCTAACTCAAAATCTGATCCTCACGTCCGCATTTTCCATCCTTCACTTTCCGTCCTTATGGGTTGCGTGCAAGAACTGTCAGATGACCGACCCTGGAGGCACAACTTCACTTTTCTTATTTGTTTACAAGTGATTGAAATAGTTTTTCACAATTATTTTGGCATACGAATCGTATTTTGAATCGTGTTTTTCGGCTATTCATTAATTCGCTCATGTCATCACATTGTACTGTTGTACAATGCACAAAAACTGCAGCGGAATACGGAGGAATCCGGTTGGTACATTATGATTTAAAAGTAAGTATAGTCACTCACATATAGTTTCCATTTTTGAAATTTGGTAATTTCTCTGATTTCCCATCGGAATTCCTTCTGCAATAGGAGCAAATAGAAATACTCGTGAAATTTCTAAAATAATGCAAGAAGATTGGATTCATGCAATCAAACGGGAGGACTGGTCTGACATGCGCTGACGAAATATTATGATCATGTGTGTTGTAGACATTTTCAATCTATTAGCAGTATTAGCTTGTATTGCAGAAGTGGCAGAAGGAATTTTAATATTGTGCATTGTACAACAGCATAATGCGAAGGCATGCTTGAATTGATGAATAGGGCAAAAAACAGGATTCCTATGCCAAAATATTGTGAAAAACTCTTACAATCCTTCGATTCCTCTGTAAAGAAACAAAAAAAGTGAGGTTGTGTTTCAATAATTCACAGAAGAGTGAGGTTGTGTTTCAATATTTTACCTCCAGGGTCGGTCATCGTGCACGCGACCTATAGATTCAAAAAATACCTCTCATTTTGGTCCCATTTTTGTTGAGATATCGTATAGGCGATGCGCTATATATAGAAATAGTAGATATAAGCTGTACATATACTACTTACAGGCACAATTGGTGTAGTTAGAACTGAGAATCGAAGTGCACCCGGCATGGCACGGACTGAAATACGTTAGCCCGTTGTTGCCGCACACCGGCTCCACGTCGTTCATGCTGCACTCGCAGCCGAAGTTGCACGACGAGGTCAGGTTCACCTGGAACGGCTGCGTGCTGTTGAAGTAGGGGATGGTCGTGCCGGCCATCTTCAGGTTGTCGCAGCCGAGAAAGAAAAGGAGGCCGTAGCAGAGGAGGCAGACGGCGTTGGAGATCAGGACGAACTGCACGGCCCCCTTGGGGCGCAGCTCCATCTTCTTGAGGACCACGCCGCCCATGAAGATGCCGATGCACGCGCCAGGGATTGCGATGGACCCTGAATAGATTAACGAAACACTGATAGCGTTTTTTACTCGCCGAGTTAGGCTAGGTTAGGTTCCATGTGAGTAGGGCGAATACCGCCCCTTCACTGCGACTCTAGATGGGTCAATTGTGGCTCACCCTTAGAGGTTACAGTTCACTATACAATCCACATCATTTTACAAAGTCCATGTATGAATTAGGTGACATTTGTCTGAAATCGATAGGTTTTTGGCAAATCCAAATATGTCGAATCTCTATAAGCAAGAGCATGAACATAATATGTGTTCAGCCGTTTCGTCTTCCACACAGCAGAACCCAGGTGGTATCTTATCTATCCTGTAAGCAGTCCTGTCGGAATTCGCAGGTTACCCCTGCTCCATTCTATAGGATCTGCCTGGTTATATTCTTGGTTTAGGCAGAAACGCCTTCAAATAAGTCAATCCTGGTGATTGAGACCAGTACGTGAGTCTTTTCACCTCCGCCCAGTCAGAGATATTTGTTTTGTCCGCACTTGCGGTGATCCCAAAGTATGGTTCTGGTCCTATGAACACAGATTCAGTTCCCTGTTTGGCTTTCTCGTTGCCCTCCACCCCCTGATGTCCAGGCACCCACAGCAAAGTAACTATGTTGTTTGCATTCAGGCACTGGCTCGGTTTTTTTAAATAGTGCGGTTCCAGAGAGAGCAGTGGAATACAAAATCGAGAGTTGTTGCGACCTTTGGGTGCTTGTCAAAAATGTCAGAATTGTTTTGGCAATCAAAAAGTTGAATTATTGATAGTGGTGGAACGACATTTCTGTTTCGCTAGTCCACATGAAATGGATCCATCCACTTGTGGTTTCTCTGTGAAAACAGTGCCAACAACAGTCTTATATGGATGAAGATGTTTTGGTCATTTTCAATGAAGTGTTGTTCACGAATTTATAGTATTTTTCATCATTACTGAATCAACAATTAAATGTTTTTGATACCTGCACATATATAAATAGCTTTCTATAACTTCAATGTAATTTTGAATTTTCGGTAAATGCTGTTTCATAATGAAGTACTTCTGTATCTCGCTATATAGTATCCGGAGAATCTATGATTTCGAAAATTATTGGAATAAACTTCATTGATAAATTCATAAGCATTCGAATTTGGAATAATTTCCCACTGGAATATTTGAGGTTGTGTATCGCACCGTCGAACAAGCACGGTTCTGAAAACTCGCACTTCGAGCGAGCTTCGAGCAAGTTTGAAAGCCAGTGGAAATCATTTCACGACAAAAGTTCGCTCTTGATATTCTCAGTGGACCACGCCAAATCCGCTCAGTGCCGAAAAGGTTCGAGCTAGTGCGACGAATGGAAAACGCTATTAGGAATGTTTCCAATATTGTAATTGCCCAATTATCGTAACTGACGCCGCGAGTAAGTATCGTAGATGGTTGTCAATGGGGAAATTTCCTTCGGATGAATTTTCATCAAATTAGTTTTACACTGATCAGGATTATGCTTCTGCAATCTATAATGAATGAGATTATGCTGTGAGATACAAATCTCCGAACAAACTCGAACTTAAAACGAAGAAAAACAATCAACTTTTCACTTTTTCAGAAGGCTTTCTCATGATGATTACGAGAATATACGGAAAAATGTGGAAAAGAATGAAAATTAAATCAGAACTTATTGCTTACCATCATATTACAATTCTGACGAACTAATTATAGTCTATAGAGATAAAATCCAACTTGAATCACAGCAACTAGATCACAATCAACAAGTGCGAATACAACGAAAACCGTGCATATATAATACTAGACCGTGAATTAAGAATGAAAAGATAACCTGAATGAATTTGCAGCTATTAGCATTTGGTGTAAAACTGGGTTTGGATATCTTCAAGTTAAAATGTCATTTTAATTCTCTTCAAGATTCAACTTTGAGTAATAAAGGTATTCTAGATATTAAATCAATATATATCTATGTTTCGTCATGATTATTCATTTCATCAGACTACAAATATCATTCCATATAAAGTTGCCAACATGAAAAAAGTCTCAATGCAATCAATATTCAATACATATACAGAATTTCTTGATATTAGCTCTGTGTGAACGTGGCACACCAATAATATGATAATTTTTCATAAACTTCACGGAGAAAGAAAAATCTCAATATAGGAAACTTCCCCATAAATAGAAGTCAAATTATAACTAACAATTACAGAAATGATTTGATTTTTTTTTCATAAATTATTAATTATTGTTCTTTATTATGTCTAGAATATTCCTCAAGGAAACTGAATTATTTCCATGTATGTTTATTCAAATGTCCATAAAATACCAATGAAATTCAATGAATATTTAATGTACTTATGATACATGTATAAAGAGAACACTTTGGTATTTCCAAATCACCCCTCAAAATCTTCATATGGACATGACTTTTGAACTACTTTGTAAAATCAATTCATATTTGGTATGACATATACTTATACCTACCTATCCATAAAAACTAAATTGATTTCGAGATCGGAATCCAGGTTCGCTATTAAGAAAAACAGAAAACTTCTGAAAAGAGCAAGAAAAAATTCAATCAAGTAGTTACATTTTCACGAACGCGCATCCAATTTGACAGATGATTTATTGTTCGAAGAATTAAGCTCCCATTTTGAGGAATTTTCATCGAAGTTGTAATTCAAAGTCCAATTTTTTTACAACAAAATTAAAGTCCCAACAAAATATTTTATGATAATATAATAATTCAAATCACACTATCATAATTTTAGAATAATCCATGATAATATAAATTTCACATGACAAAACAAACTTACCAGTGAAAACACTTGCTTGACTTTTCCCCAAACTGAACTGAGTTTCCAGATATTTGGGCAAAAATACAACAAAACCCGACACTATTATCAATTCCATGCAGGCACCAAGACAAGTCACAATGTATATTGGATTACTGGCTAGTCTCCACATTGATTTGGGAATATCTGAAAAATTATACACTTTTGAAATGAAGGGCATGATGTAAGTTTCAAAATGACTTCTTGAATTTTACTTTGAAATCATTTGATTGTCCCTACAGAATTATCAGTTTCCGAAAGTAACTAGCAGTTATGAAAAAAATACTTTCTTCACAACGTGGAATACCAAATACGTTTCTTAGTGGTAGTTCAAATATTTTCTGCACCAGAAAATTATTCATAGGTGTGGTATGCTAGCAATATGCTGCCTTTCTAGATATTCATATATCGGAGAGTCTCATTGATAGCGACGTCGTCTCAAGACGACGACGAACCACCGCGGGTGAACATAATTGAAGGGGCAAGTGGAAGAAGGGGTCAAGTAACATTTTCTGAAAATATTAGGTTATGTCATGGAAGAAGGTGTTATGTGCCTATGTAACTTGCCCCTTCAGGATTTGTTTCTATTCTTCATATTTGAGCAGATATACAGTGGTAGAAGGGACCATGTTACATTAAACATCAAGGACGCAATGGAACGAGGAGCTATGTACCCATTGCCTACATGTCAGGAAATGGAAGATTGAGTTATGTACACATAAATCGCCTGATTGCTGCTCATGTCGACAAGAATACTCTCTCAGTAAGCTGCATGTTTAGTAGAAATAGTTCAAAATAACATCTTACCAAAATATCGAATTTCAAAATTTATAGTCAACTAGTCAATTATTATTTTTTAATATTTCTAATAGCTTTTGAGTTACAGAGATACGTCGATAAGTTGATACAGAAATGAAAAAATTCAGATCAAGAAGTAAGTAGGTACTAGTGTTTTGACATATATAAATATAATTTTTGAATATATAAGTCAGGATCCAAGGTGAAGGGAATGTCCTTCTTGTGATGACGCCCATGATCACACTGAGGATTAGTTACAGCACCTTAGATCTCTAATATGGAGGTGTAACCACCTGTATTGTTCCCTCCATTCAGTTCTACGCATTCTATTTCAATTTGTCGATGATTTGTCTCTGTTTTTGCTCTTTGGTCACAAAACATCCAACAATCAGACATGAAACTCTATACGTCAGCACCTTGGATATTAACTATTAGTATCCTTCTATTGGGACTCGTGAGTCTCAGATTATTCAAATGATGAAATGAAAATATCGAATATCTGAACCTAACATCAGGTGGGCACTTCGAAGGCGCAAATTCTTTACTGTATGGGAGATACCTTTCAGATTTTTAGCTATTCAGTGACTTGACCGTGAGTGACATTCCGGAAACTACAGCCATTTGGAGGTCTAGTGTCTACTCACTCTAATATTTCTTACCCTTGATGTCTCTCCCGTAAGCAGTCTCGTCCTTCGTGAAGGCGCTAGTCGGCTTGGTGACAGGGCCGGCCTGAGCACCGCTCGCCGCCGCCGCCTTCTCCATCAGCCTGATCTTCTCCTTCTCGTGCAGGAGCACCTTGGGGAAGGAGAAGAACGGCACCGAGACGACGATGAGCAGCAGGCCGCAGAGCAGGAAGCCGCCCCACCACATGCCGACCCATCGGCTGTCGCCCGATTCTGCAACGTGTGGGGGATCGTCACCGACATTAACTAATATCTAGACTAGAGTAGGCCCTGATCTAACAACAACAATGGTAGATTTCCCGGAGAAAAACAACTACTTTTCTGGCTAATGCCACGCAGAACATTGAATTACATCCTCCCGAAATCTATGCATCGACTCGTATAAACGACTAGATAGATGGATAGATAGATAGATCATTTATTGTATCAAAAGAATTATAATTCTTATTACAAGGGTTGGTGTTCGAGTTGAGAAACGGAAAAATTAAATCAATCTGTTTCCATAATACTATATCTCAAAATTCTAAAAATAAGAGAGGAAAAAAACTGTATACATATATGCTGATGAGCTCAAGAACCAATAAAGTGTGAGTAGTGTACAAAAAAAGGGAAGAAAATTCGAATAACAATTTCTATATTTATCCCTACATTTATTCGTTGATAATGAATGACCTGAGTTTCAAAATGCTCATCACTGAGTGAACCAAGGTTTTGAGTTGTAAAAGTGTTCCGTAGCTCAAAAGCCGAGTGACATCTTCTATATTATTCAGATGCTCAAAAAGTTCATTTTCCCGTATGCCTCTATAAATTGGACATACCAACAAGACATGTTCAAGTGATTCGATTTCATGTAGGTTACAAATTGAACATGTTACTTCAGTGTCGATTGAGTAAACTTGGCCGTTGAAGGTTAATCTGAGGATTTTTTTGCTGCAAGTTCGTAATTGAGTGATCAGTCTCACAATATACATGGGCAGAGAGCTCTCAGGCAGTTTTGGCCATCAAGACACAAGCACAGATCTCGGTAGATGAGGGGATATGAAGAATTTGATGATCTCTCTAAATCATAGCGCAGTAATTTCTTTTGAAATGCTTCTAAAACACAGGCAGTATCACTCTTGGAGACGTACAATAAGAAATTCTGCCAGCGTTGTTCTTCATCAGCGAACAGAAAACATTGCTTGACCTGCTCAACCCAATTGTACCTTCCATCTGTATTATTCAATTCAGTAAGTGCCAAGAAGCAGATTTTAGGAAGGCGAGAGTCTTCCATTAGTTTGATGTCATTAAGCAATGAGAGAGCTGCTTTGAAGATCATCAATCTGACTCGTATAAACGAATACTGATACAAGTGATTCTTTCCTGAATACCTAGTGATTTAGATTTATCCAGGCTACGATAGACACCTACAGATCGGTTTCGAGCTCTTTGACTCTCATCAGTGCAGGGCAGTCTCCAGCCAGCAGTTCTAAGATCGCCGACTAAGCGTAGCCTAGCCAAACAAAAATTAGGTCGGCATTATATTCCCTCAGAGGCGTTCTCCATAGACAATACGGTCTGTAGGTGTCTAGCGTCATTATTATTTCATTATTTTTCGAGATATTGCAAGTTAAACATGAAGCTGTACAATTATTTTGATTCTGATGTGTATTGATTATCTCGATGTTTTGGATCATTGGATTGCATTCATTATGCAAATGGAACTTCAATCCATATGAACAAAAAAATATAACAATCATTTTTGAATTTTGGAATACAATAAATAAAACATTATTTATTTGAATTCTCGAAAACTGTGACAGATATGTTGACATAAATCATGTTGTCTATGTTCAGAATTAGAAGGTCAATCGAACCGTGTGAAAGAAATATAGGTTTCCATTTGAAATAAGGAAGTTGGTGCCGACTTTTTGCACGCCCTGTATAGCTGGGGGAATAAAAATATTTCAGGTTGATTGGAAATGATCGATTATAACAGCATTCCAATTTTCAAGTTTCTGATCCAACTGCAAGTTGGAAAACTTGTAATGTGTGGCCTACGTAAATCACCCTGTATAGCTAGCATGATGATGTTGAATTTGTTTTATTATTTCAAGAAAAATGTTTTTATTGTCACAAGACTAGAACGGTCAACCACCGCATTCACAATCAAAACAAATTCAACCTACGCTAACCATTATATTAGTAAAATAGGTTTGAAAAAAATTTCGAGTTTTACATAGGGTGAATAAAGGAATAAAACTTGATCACTTGGAATCGTTGAATATCAACAAACGCGGATATTACAATATTTTTCTTATCACCGCTGTTCCTGATCAACCACTATGTCAACCATTAAAGTTTAAAGTTCTCACAACATAAATGTTGTTTCGTCTTAGCAGTATCATATTTTACATTTTATAATATTCTATTCGATTTTTGACTATAATATACTGAACATGCTAAGAACAAGTTGTTTTCTGAGTTCTTTTATATCATCACATAATTTCATGAAGTGGTTATTTTTTTTTAAATTTCAATTATTGACAACACTGCTTCCGAGTATTTTTCATGTCTTACCTATTGATATGATGTGAGTGAATGAGTCCATATGGAACGATAAGAGGTAGGCTCCCAGCAAGAAACCCAGGACTGGACCAAAAGCTGCCATACTGTACATACAGCCTGAAATTCATAAAATAATTTATGTGTACCAACGAACAAGTTCTCACCCAATTATATTGTGTACACTTCCTTATATCAATAACAGCAAATATACTGATGTTGAAGAATATATAGTGTAATGGCCAAATGAACTGATTTGAAATCTAGCGGTGATATACTACAACCTCTAAGATCTATTACTGTACCAGAACAATAATTCCACTATTTTGTGTAATTTTATTTCCAGATGTGGTAATACTTTCTAGAAATGTAACAAAAAAAGTATGAATTTCATTTTAATCAATGGCCAATGATGCATGTAGAGATTCCACTTGGTAGTTTGTATGATACAAAATCTTATAATCTCAAATTCTGTGATATTTGGTATAAATACATCAAATCATATGTACAGGGTGGTCCAACAAAAACTTTACATCCCGATTTTAGGTCTTCAAAATAAAAATCCGGAAAAACGCTCGAACCCGCTGATTTCCGATTCGAGAGGGATCGACTTTTCTGTTTTTTGCATCTCCGTAACTTCAACCCCTTACCAGAGGGAAGCAAAACCCCAGAATTTTTGTCTCAAGTAGAATACAAATTCTCAACTTCCGAAGATTTTGTTTTCAAATTCTTATCGTGTGTGTTCAATAGATACAATTCAATATTCGTCCTGGCATATAGCAAGAAAAGAAGTTGTTTTCTGTTTAATAAACCGAGAAAGAAGTGATATTTTCATCACATAGAAAATGCGAATTCTCAATGTATTTCTTAATATATATATCCAATTTTTCATGTTCATAATTTTATCTGAGAAAATTCCTTTTTAAATAAATAAATACTTCTCGAATTCTACTCTAATGAGAATAATATTTTCGAGATGAATTCGACATTGCCTCTTCCACTATTCCATCTCTCATTTCGTTATCGATGAAAATTTCGACGCGAAATTATAGAGGGTCTGATAGTACTCGATGAAATCTTCAAATGAGGTATCGCAACACCCCTCATCCCTATTAAAATTCGGGGGTTGTGCTTCCCTCTGGTGGGGGGTTGAAGTTACGGAGATGAAGAAAGCAGAAAAGTCGTTCCCCTCCAATCAGAAATCGACGGGTCCGAGCGTTTTTCCGGATTTTCATTTCAGAGCCCTAAAATCGGGATGTAAAGTTTTCGTTGGACCCCCTTGTATATATTAGATTTGAGGAAAACTTCGATCAATCAACACTACATATAATAAAGAACGTTTGCCTCATGATTTTTTTAGAACTGTTCCGTAAATAAATGAAATATTTTCGGGCTATCATCTCCAAGGTGAAATTGCTGATAGTGTTTCATTTCTATTTAAACGCGGATAGATAAGAATATTTCAATGCCTTGAAGTTGGCGGCACCTTTCAACAGAATCATTATTGTTCATCAATATACTTGATGATTGAAATAATATATTTGACATTACTATCTTGATAGATTAATGTCAAGTGTTAATTCAAGTCCAGGTAGCCGTGCGGACAAAGTGTCAGTATTCTGATGGCCCAAGAAAGTGTTTGGGATCACACGTTAAAAGGTAAGGCCCCCGTCATTCCTTGCTCGCACAAGACTCTTGAAGACTTCTGAGGGTTGTGTATTTGAGTAAGTGATCATACAGATATCTGGAGGAGGAACATATCGACATCTATTGCAAAACAAGTGGAATACTGCAATATACCGAATAAAGTATGCCCACTGGCCTATAAACAACAAAAATTGGAAAAGTTTGTTGGCGAGTATGCGCAATGCGTATACCGTATTGGCCTAGCCTTGATCAATTTGAAACATACCATATATCATAAATTATTTTCATCGCTAGACATACAAACAAGCTCCTCAACATCCAAGACATAACAGCAAAACACTAGCAAAAATACACATTATGCATAATACATCAAACACAAACAACGTAAATATAGCTGACGAACGATCGATAATGAGATTGCAGAGACACCCGCTCTGATAAAATCTATGAGTATATACATACGCCCTAACAAGACTCCAAAACAAATATCAAAGACATACACAGTGCTGACGTTAATATACTGCGCAGGTGCGTCAACCAATTACAATGCTCGCTTGATGGCGCACATCATCAGGAAGGCAAGTAGACAATTTTTTTCATTTCTTGAATAGAATCATCATTCAAATACCTTATTTCATATTTTTTGAGAATTTTTCGGTAGATTTTTTGGTGCTTAAATCATCAATAATGCCAAGGTAATTTTCGAACGGCTAGAAATTTACCGCTATTAAAATTTCGTAGGTAGGGGCAAACCATAATGCAGTTGCCATGTGTTGAATACGATTGGGAATAAATTCCCAATTGAGTATTGGTAATATTCCGAATTAGCAATAAATATTCAATTGTCTCAAACTGTTCCCTTATGATTTGTGGCTTATTACTTATAATAAATTTGTGTAGATAATAATTATATTAATTCACACTAGATGCATTTGTATCGGTGAACGTGACAACCCCGTGTACGTCTTGTGGGCGTGGTCTTGTCAGTTCTCAGCAATCAGCACAATATTGCTGAGTCTCCAACATTCACATGCATTTTTTTTATGGAGAATAAGAAATATTTGGACATGCTGGTTGGTCGAAAATGTCAAGAATGAACTATAATGTCATTAGTTCCTCCTATTATGTTTTATTCAACGACAGAACTCAAATATCTTTTTGATGACTTGATTATAATCGGTGACTTGACAACCTTCCTTCATGAGTAGAAATGGAAGATTATCTGACCAATAAAGAACAAAAGGCGGCCATGACGTTACGTTTGAAATGAGCTCTGAAATTCAACGATTTTGAACAACGCATAGACTTATTATTTACATAAAAAAGGTGTGAGAGGTGATGCGACAATTGAATGCCAATAATTCATCATCAGTTCACTCGCCCATTGTTGTTAATAGGTCAGTGAATCTGCCGCATGAATAAGTTGGCTGTGCGTATACAGTGATTTGGAAGTAACATTTTTACCCCAGTGACACAATGTACTATTTACAAAAAATGTGACACTATTTAGCAGTACCATGAAGTGTATATTTCTAGTTGTAGAAAACTTTCATTGGTTTCAACTCACCTATATAAATTGACGAACTCTCAGGCCTAACGTGGTCATCTATGTAAGTGGTGCCGAGAGTGAAAAGCGGCGATCCACCGCAACCTAACAATAATTGTGCGAGAACGAAGAGCAATACTGGTCCAGTAGTCGAAGGGCCGCCCTGAATACAGTTGTCCCCCCGAATGTTGTTCGGCGCCAGGGGAGGAGACGACAGGCCCGAAGACAATCTCCCCAAGCCCATATCCTGCTCGTGCACAGACACTATTCGACACATGTTCTCATCGGTGGTGTTAGCCACCGCGATACCTAACAAAAAAAAATAATTTCACTAAAACACCCTATACAGTGCTTTTCTTTAATGCCCCCTCCCCATTTATTTTATAAACCGAAAAATTTCATCTTGGGATAGGGTGCTCTTATGTCAAGAAGTTCAAAGCAACCATTTCGAGCAGCTTCTGAACTGCACTCAGCTTATTTCCTCAAATTATGAAGTGAACGTCAATGTATTCAGGCAATTATCAAATGTTCCGCCATTTTGTAGTACGTGAAGATATTGACTTTATATTCTAGGGTTGTGACGTATTCGTCAGGAGCTTCAGAAAGATGTATCACAAGACCCCACTATCCATTTATTTTTTTCCAAGATGGCGCCCAATCGCCATCTTGAAATTTTCATTTGTCAATTTTACTCCAAAATATAGCATCCACGCATCAATTTCATTACCACAAGTTTCAATTTCTTGACCCGTTCAAAAAATGAAAGGGGTGGGGGGGGGGGGGCATTAAAGAAAATCACTGTGAGTTTCTTGATATTGAACTTCAATTGAGGTTCTGTTGAACATAGTAATTTATTATCTTTGGTACAAGTGAATGGTTGCTCAAAGTGTTGTGATTGGAGTTCAAGAACACAAGAAAGCTTTAAATCATCTCCATAATATTAAAATTCTTTCATGTAGGTAGGTACATACGTTCCGGACTCATGGAGTCTATCACCAGTTGTATAAAGTTATATTCTTGCTATACCAACGAAATAGAGGTTAAGTAGGTAGTACTTACATGTAGTCGCAAACATTTTGTAAAAACATTAATATGAAATTGAATTCCGAGAAAAAGCAGTTGGAGTCAAGAGTCCGAAACATGTATCTTTCAACGAACACTTGATTATTTCTGGAAATTCGCCGAGACCATTCAATTTCAGTTCTTGGGGGGAGTATTTTTGACAGTCAAGCCAACTTGAAATGTTTATGCCCCTAACCCCTATCAACTCCAACATCTCAAATGGAACTACCCTACTTCCATCACATAATCTTGTCCAGTTGAGATTTGATACGAGTTTCGGTATTCTATTGATAGAAAAGGTCCCGTCGGATGGCCACCAAGATCACTCGAACTAACCCCTTCAGACTCAGAGAGGCGATTTTGAATCGATTTATTCAGTAATGTTCCTATTGGAAGGAGTTTCGAAATATCTCGATATCGCCTCTAGTCTAACGAAACATTTGAAGAGTCGGCACACCAGAGGAATTATAAACATCTCAGGGATGAACATATCAAGTTGGCTAACCTATCAAAAATGCCCAGAACATATATGTTTATTACCTTTGTTGTCTTCTGCGATGAAATGTGGTACCATGAAAATAAGGGAACCAACACCCATTATGACAGCTCCGATGCCTATCCACACTGGTATGTGTCGCCTGCTGCCGAGATAGCTTACAAATATAACTGTTATTACATTTCCTATTTCATAAGATGACGCCACGAGTCCGGATAGGCTCGATGGAATCTCGAATCGCTTTTCGATTGTTGTTATCACAGAATTGATGTATCCAGAGCTTAGTGCTTGTTGAAGGGTAACAAGGAATGACAGGAGTAGAACGAAGAACTAGAAGAAGAAATTGAAAATGCAAAAAGTTAATCACCATACTCACCACCAACCATTTGTATTTGTAACTTTTCATTGTTTATTGTAAGAACTTCATAGTTGTCAATGTTAAGGGTATACAGGGTGTCCCAAAATGAAGGATCAGAGTACTCAAAATTGACTGGGTTGTACTCTGGTAAGATCACATTGTCTTAAAAAAAAACAAATGCTGTTGCCATAGCAACTAATTTGTTGTATGCCTCCATATTTGACCATTTGTCGTTGTGTCATTAATTGAGTGTCTTGTTTTATTGACTAAAATTACATAAAATGCCTCAAATAAATCCTGAACAAGTAGCAAGATTAGTTGCGTTAGTAAACGATGGGCGTAGTAAACGTTACGCCGCTCGTGCAGTGGGAGTTCATGAAGCAACTGCTCGTATAGCAATCCACAAGTACGAACAAACAGGAAGCACCGCTCGGAGGGTCGGTTCTGGTCGCCCCCGAAAAACTTCTCCAAGAGATGATCGCTTCCTGAGATTGCGGATTTTACGGAATCGATCAAATACTGCGGTAAATGTTCAGCAAGATCATCGCCAAATTCGTGATGTTGCAGTAAGTAAGCAGACGGTATGTCGACGTCTAAAAAAAGTTAATTTAAAAGCTAGGAGACCAGCAAAAGGTCCCAAATTATTGCCTGAACATCGTTCTCAACTACTACGTTGCTCAACTACTTTTTTTTCACGAAACTCATGAAATTGGAAAATAATGATAAAAAACTACTTCCATTTTTGTAATTTTCTTCCATATCCACGATTCATTCCAATGTTCTGCATAATATATTAATACACTCCAAAGAAAGTGACGCACTTGATATTTGACCTATCTTCTTAAAAAAAGTAGGCCGATTTTTTTTTATTTGTTGGTAGGTGATGCATTCGTCTTTGAAAAAAAATAAACAGGTGAAATTTTTTTCGAAGCCTCCTTGATGGTGGTGGAATAACTCGAACCAGCAAAAGGTCCCAAATTATTGCCTGAACATCGTGCTGCTAGAAGGATTTTGTTGAAAATTATGGACAGTGGAATATTCCTGAATGGTCGAATGTCTTGTTTACGGATGAGTCAAGGTTTTGCCTTAACATGGTGGATGGAAGAAAATATTTATATTTTTAAATCGATTTTACTCGAAAATGATACATCTGATCGATACGGAACAAGAGCACCTTTTTTCTGTGAAGAGGTGTGGATTTCCATAATCCGAGATCAAAAGTTCGATAAAAGACCATGCAAAAAAGTATGAGCAATATTTAACGTAGTTCCACCACCCTGTATTATACACTCCTGAATGACATTTTGGAATGATTTTATTTTCACTGCATTGGGCATGGAAAGTGCATTTCTTGTATCGGATTGCATCATTTTATCACATGGCGTTTCGAAAATATTCAGGAAATATCATCTTCAGGAGCGTCCATTCAGGGGGCAGTAGCTATCCCTTAGGAGACATTCATCAACTCATGTTCATTCTAACTTTTTTTTCTCTTTTTGGTCGTAGAAGCAGCTGGTGAAGTTTGGCAGGCTAATTTTGGGACACCCTGTATTTGCCTACTCAAGATTATAGTAAACACAACCGTAGTAGGGGAACACTATAACAAGATGAGCAAATTTGAAATATAGCAGGACATTGACGAACATACAATAAACGATTACTTACATCGAAAGTACTTATACAGTGTTCCAATATTATGTCAATACTGAAGGAGGTAATTCCTTGGCATTTTTTATGCAAGTTGAAGTATTTTTTTTACGATTTCATAGATACAGGGTGTCAAAGTTGTTGATGTTTATTAATGTTTTATCATCACCCTGTATGAACTTTCATAATGACTGGACTATTTTCAACATTTCAAATGTATACTTACACATAATATAAGTTGTGAATGAACTTTTTTCAGAAAATATCACAAGAAATCATCCTTGTTCGTTCACCACCATGTATGGTTTTCAAGTAATCTCAAGAGGAAACTGTAATGCATATGAAACAACAGGATTCGAAGTAAAATCAACAGATTATTATTGATTTTTAAAAACCGTGTTGGTTTAAAAATGCCTCTTCTTGTATATGAAGTACACCAACATTCGTGAAATAACTGGAGCGGGACAGACATATAAAAAAATAATTATATGCAAGTTTTTCTGAATGAATATGATGCCAAAAAACGCCCCCTGAAATAGCATATAATTTACCAACACACTGTATACAGTACCTACTCGCTTCTGGCCAGAAATATTTCAAATCTCACAGAAGCGGTTTCTACCTGAAAAATGTTGTCGAAAGATCTATCTATCCTATGTGCTTTTTGATTCTTTTATGCAAAAGGGCGAATTATTTCGCAGAAAACATTTTTATAGATTCAAATTTGAAGGAGCTATGAAACTAATCATGATGACAGTGCATCCTCATATGGATAACCATACTACACGTAACTATTAAGGGACACAAATAGGCCATTTTTGTCATGTATCAGGCCCCACACAGATCATATGGATCTTTATTAATAGAAACAGACTTGGGGAGAGTTCTTTGGGATATGTTGAATATGTAAGTTTTAGGTGATTTTGCTGTCATCATGAAAACTTAACTATGTTTGTTTAATTTCAGAATACCAAGAACATTATTTACACTTCTAGCCTAGCACAAACTTAGATCTGTTTCAAGTCAGGATAAAGATATATAATATGAAAATGACTATTGAGAATATGGGGTTCATGAATATTTCTTATTTGAAATAATATATATTCGTTATTGATTACTTTATCTAGGTACTGGAAATAGTTGATATTATGTAACAAATTATTAGCGTCCATTGTATCATAAATGATTTCTTGGTACACCAAAACATAAACATATGAAGATAAAAGTCTTATAACATCTGTTTGCAATATCCTTATCTTTGATGCATGAGTAGAAAATATGCAAGGTAATAATTATGTAGATCATTGCAAGGTTATCACTTCCGTGAATTATTCGATCAGCTATCCAAAATCGATGATAGAGAAAATAAAGCCGAAAGACCGATTAAGTAAAAACTTTGTTATACTATTTGAGAATTATCGCAGCATGCAGAGATTTCACAAATGAATATCTAAACCGTTTCACTCAATTTCATAGGTCATTCTGACTTATCATGGAGATATATTGATTATAAATAAAAGGCTAAATCAATATGATATTGATAAAACTAAGTGTAATTTTCTTAAATCCATGAGGGACTTTCTTCCTCATAGATGTATTTATGAATAACAAAACATTGTAACAACACTATCTTTTTATCGTCTTTTTATGATTCATTGAATGATATATGCCATTGTAAAATATATGTAGGATTGAAAATTCCAAATTTGTGATGAAATCAATATTATTTCAAAATGAAAACCAAATATTTAAGAATTTTTGGTAAAAAACATATTTTTCGTACAATTAGATTATACAGTCATCACCAGTGTGTACCTACCTGTTATGTATTTTATCTCATGAAAATGCGAAAAGCGATGTTACTCGTCAAGTCTTCATAAATATCCAAGATTATGTCGACAACTTTTCCATTACCAGGAATTACGATACTAACGTATTACAACGTTTTTACCCAAACTAAGTCATTTGTTGCAGTACTGAGATGGAAATGAGATGGAAATGAGAGAGAAATAAGATAAATTAGATAGGTGAAATGACAAATCATGATTGGAACAGAACTTGAAAATGCAGAACTGAAAATATCATTTTAGTAAAACTCAACAGTAGTGACTAATTATGCCACGTATCAGCGCTAAAGTTTGATGAACTCATCGGCCGATTAGTGAATTATTTGGAATATTGGTAAATTGATAGTCATATTGGTGAATTGATTGTCATATTGGTAAATTGATTGACAGATTGTTCAATTAATTTGCACATTGATAAATCTACTGGCAGATTGGTATATTAATTGAAAAACATTGGTCAGATAGTCGAGCTTATCGGCAAATTAGTGAATTATTTGGCATATTGATAAAGTGATCGGCATATTGGTGAAGTGATTGACATACTGGCAAATTGATAGGTATATTGATGAATTGATTGGTATATTGGGAAATTGATTGGGATGTATTGGTCATCTCATTGGCAGATTGGTAAATTGATTGGCACATTGATAAATCGACTGGCAGATTGGTATATTAATTGGAAAATATTGGTCAGATTGGCCAGCTTATCGACAAATTAGTGAATTCTTTGGCATATTGATGAGGTGATCGCCATGATTATGAAGTGAATGGCATACTGGCAAATTGATTGGTGTATTGGGAAATTGATTGGGATATATTGGCCAACTTATAAGCAGATAGGTAAATTGATTGACAGATTGGTAAACTGATTGGCACATTGATAAATCGACTGACAGATACCAATCAATCAATTGGAAAATATTGGTCAGATTGGCGAGCTCATCGGCAAATTGATTGGTATATTGGGAGATTGATTGAGATATAGGTATATTAATTTGAAAATATTGGTCAGATTGGCGAGCTTATCGGCAAATTAGTGAATTCTTCGAGATATTGATAAGGTGATCGGCATTATGGTGAAGTGAATGGTATACTGGCAAATTGATTGATATACCGGGAAATTGATGGGAGATATTGGTAAACTGATTGGCAAATTGGTAAATTAATTGGCAGATTATCAAATCAATTGTCAGATTGCCAAATTAATTGTCAGATTGGTAAATTAATGGACGGATTTGAAAATCGAGTGGACTGACCTTAATTCCAGCATACTTTTGAATGAAGGAAGGCCGGCACCTAAAAATGCCGCATTCCTTCGCATCCTTCAATATCACAGGCGCTTCCCCGTACGTCGTCGTCGTCGTCGCATGCGCGGCTTTGTCCCTATCGAAGCTGGCCGAGGGGTTCCGACTGTGGCACTTGATGATCGTGTCGTGGCAGAAGTTCGTCGAGCACTTCGTCTCGGCTATCTCCGCCTGCTCGGGGATGGCCTCCGCGTAGAGGCCGGTCATCGTGTACATGGACTCTTGTCGGCGGTGGCCCTTGCAGCCAGGGGTTGAGGTTGAGGTTGAGGTGGAGGCCCCATGGTTGGAGTCGGGGATTGAGGAGGTGGTGGTGGGTCCGTTGCCAGTCATGTTTGAGGAGGGGGTGTGTCTTAGCAGTGGTCTTTCATAGTATGTAGCTCCAAAGAAGCTGAAAGCAGAGGATGATAATATAGGTTACTCCAGGGTTGCGACGATTTAAATCAACTGATCTTAATGTTCGAATGCTCATTGTGCGTGTTCAATAGATGGAAGTAGCTGTTTTCTGTTGGATATACCGAAAAATAATTCATATTAGTTATTTTCATGTTCATAATATATCTACGAATATTCCTTTCCAAAACTTTCATACCCAATCAAGCTAGAGGTTCCAACTTGAACGTAGAAAATTTGCTTTTACAGACCTCTAATCACAGATTCGTGTTTGGGTTTCCTTAATTCAGAATTTTCCAGTCCCTGTATGATCAACATCTATTCATCGTTCATTTGACAAATCATCTGATTTTTTCAATTTCAATCGTGATTTGAATAAAATTCTAAATCACTGTGAAAACGAGTCTTTGAACCAGATCAATTGGCAGGGAATTGAAAAAAAGGAATAATTTCCCAAAAACAATCACCATTCAACGAAAAAAAATCTGTTTTTTTGGCAACTCTGGGTTATTCTGTGGCCGCTCGGGCGTCATTGTTTCTGATACCAAAATCTAATATTGTAGCTTCACATCAGGTCAGAGAATGAAAGCGAGAACTTTGATCTTAGGATTGAAGTGTTGGCTGGCAACCCTCAGAGCTAGGGGGAATGAAATGCTTTCCATAAATGAGGGATACTCCAAGTTTCAAGTAGGTACTTCTTTTGCTTCCTTTGTGATTTTCAATACTACTTCATTCAACTACGTATCTTCATTAAATTCGAAAAAAAAGTAGGAATATATATCTACTGTGTCGATCCATTATACTGGTTGAGTCAAAAATGTGTACCGAGCTTTCTGGAGGTGATAGTACGTCAAAAAATAAGTATACATTGATATATGAACTTATGGCTCGAAAAAGTTGATAAAATTAAAATATTTTTTTCGCATAACTTCTGAACGGTGAAAGTCTCCAGATGGAAATTATTTGCACATATGTTAGTATGTTGTTCAAATACATTTTTCTGATACCCTTCTACATTCATGATATCGTTATAAAGGGTGATTTCAGAGGGTGGGTCATGATTTTTTGTAGACAACTGCTTTCCTTGTATTTGTTTTGGTGGAAAAATAGGAGCAATTGATACAGCGAAGAAAATTACATAAATATATATCAATCACGGATTGACGATCAGTTATTTATTCAAAAAATTGAACACGTTACCATGGCAACAGAATTTTGTAAACACATTATCTTTTCTACGTCAGAAGAAAACTTTTTATTCACAAAGGTTAATAGGCAAGCAAATTTTAATAGAAATTCAAATTCATGTATCCTATGGACTGAGCACATCTACAACCAATATCACTTATACGTGTCACTTTGGTTGCATGCCGTTGCATAGTATTATGTATACTTGTCAATAAAAGGATCCATAATAGTATATTATGTAACAAGTGTTATAAACGTCCTTTTAGTAACGAGTAGTTTAAGCACGAGCGGAGCAGAGCGGAGCGAGTGTTTAATAAACGAGTGTCTAGAAGAGTTTATAAACGCGTTACATACTATGATTTTTCTACGAACTCCGGAAAATAACATTAACGTACCTGCAATTCCTGCTAACCTACAAAATAATTCGAAAGGAATGGGAATTGAGAACATAATACATGCAACTGCATGCAACCAGCGAGACATGTATAAGTGATATTGGTTGTAGATGTGTCCAGTCCATTGCTTACTAACCTTTGTTTCACGTTCATTGTCATGCTCAGCGTAGAATTAATAAATTGTTCTCAAAGATGGATGCTTCATTTTTACACTTCTTGGAGATATGCAAGTACCAGAACATTCTCTTCGATTTCACTTTCGTCTACTTTTCGCATATATTTTTAATGAAAAATTCTGATACAAACGAATATTGTTTGAATGACTCTGATACAAAATTCGAAAATAACAGTTGACAGTCGATACAATTGACAGGCCAGACATGTCTCAAATTACTGAAGCTGTGTTTAATGAACTGCGTTGCCATGGTAATGTGTTTAAGGAATAGTGTTGCCATGGTAACGTGTTTAATATTTTGAATAAATCACAGATCGACAATCCGTAATTAATCGATCATTTAGCGTGATACATATCCGTACGCTAAATGCCATTTTAGTTATGTGAGTAGAAAAAACACTATTAGATTGCAGTCATGAAAATGTTAAATTAAAATTCGTAAGTTAGACTTTATATAGGTCGCGATGTATGTATATGTATAAGAATTGAAATTATTTTTTTGGAATACCATAAACAGTGTGTTTCACTTAAAGGGTAGCGGAAATTCCGGAAAATTCATTATTTCAGTTCAGTTTTTATATTTTAGTTTTCCAATAAGCTTCCCGAAGAGAGGGGCCGTTGTTGTCCTATAATTTTGTATAAGTTGCAAAGCTCAGAAGAAGTCGAGATTTATCGAATTTGTTCCGAACATCCCAATATTCAGATTACTCATATTACTGTGTACGTATTCAAAATATGAACTTCTAATTACAATAATGGACGATTGCTAATCCATTAGATATCATGAAAATTCTCTTTATGGATGGCTACAACAACGTTAATTAATTTCACGATCAATGTAGGTATACTGGAGAGAAGGGAGTACATGACTGGAACACAGGTTCAAAAATAGCGGGCTTCATAACTCCGATGAATATTCACTTTCATAAATCACCGAGGGGGTTGTGTTCTAAAAATACGGAGAGAAGCGAAGCTTCCCCTGATGATAATAATTGCATCGATTTTCCATCGTGGATCGTGGAGCAGATGTAATTAGCTATTACATATCACAAACCCAATCTAATGGTGTCAGTGGCGTAACTATTAAATGGCAGTTCGGGGCAAGGCACGGCTCGGCCCTCATCGGGAATCAGAGTATGATCATTATTCGTCATGTTTTCTATGCCAAAATGTACAGGGCTTTCCATCGAGAAGGTCCAACCCTATATTTTTTTTTGTTTATCGAGAGAAAAAACACGATATGCGAAAGTTGAATGCTGCAACGAGGCCTTTTCACAACCCTCATCAAAAGATTTACAGTATGGAACACCCTGTTTTTCATATTTTTTTCGGAATCTGTAATTTTTTGTAATGGCAATTTTTTGATCCCAGAAAAACAGTTTTTGTGTATTGGCTTCTACATATATGGTGTTGGCCACGAATGAGGATATATTTGACAGTTGTATGTTCCATCATTATCGAATACATCCCCAAACTGAATGAGTGATCACCAGTTAATCAGACATAAAATGTTCTTCTAGGCTCAAAAGAGTGGTGATAAAGAAGTGAAAATAGAATATATCACCATGTATACCAGGTGACACAGGGTATAGGGCCAGCCCTGTAACTTCTGCATTTGTGAACGGATTTTTCTGAAATTTGGTACAGTTATGTGAGCAACCATTTCGGATTTGATGTCATTACAAAGCGATATGGCGGACTTCCGGTTTTACTGGAAATGCCAGCAACTTAGTTTTTTCAAATGCTACTCCCTGTATAGATTAAGAAATGTTGTTTTCTACACCTCACTTGAAAAATTATTCGAACTGCAAGGACATTCATAAAACAAGTTGTTGATTTTTGAGTGTATAAAATTTGTTACTGCACCGAAATAAAAAAATGGTATGTCACTTTTTTCCTTAATGTATGTTTTCGAGAGACATGTAGGTGGCCCATAGGAGTTTCATTTGAAAAAATTGAATTTTTGATCAAAATGTGATGTGACTGAAATGATTCATCGATATGTGCCACAAAAAATAGTTTTTTCAGAAAATTATTAAATTAATTGAATGTTTCTCTAGTATGTGGGACTCATGGTGAATAGCTTTGACCACCTCTCATTTATCCACGAGGTAAAATAAAATAACAACATTAATATCAACATTTTCGAAAAAATGACATTTGTCATAGAGATTGCACTTGTTTTGACCTGAAAGGTGTTAATATTACGTATATATGTGGCAGAAGACAAGTTCATTTTGATTAGGGACTCCAGCCTGTCTTGTTACGCTACTGGTATGCCCTAGTAACCTCTATTATCGATGCACCACAATAACGCAAAGCAATCAGAAAACAATTTGTCAATCATTTTGAAACGGTTCCTTTAAAATAACGAATTTCTCTTGTCAGATATGGGGCCAAGGACAGAGCAAAATGGAACAAAAGTATTGGGTCGATTGTATTTTCTATTGTAAACAATTTCATAAACGGAAATATTTCCACAAAATTTTCAAAAACTCGACATGTTTCCGATAAAACAGTAGCTTCTTCAATCTCGTACAATAAACTAACCTAAAACTGACTTAATATACTTTATGGACTTGAGTACCTGTGAGGGGGATAGCTAAATTCTTCATTTTGGAAAGTATGCAAAATGCGATCTTATGATCTCTTAATGAATGGAAGCTCATAATGAATTTGTTTCCATTTTAAAAAAACTCATTCGATGTTCGTGAATACTGTGGTCAAATGTTTTAGCTGTGTGACCAACATATGCTTAGGAAAACACCCACAAGTAAGTTTGCACACTCCTGATTTTCAGATGTTTTGTCATGTCCCACTCAATAAGTTGAAAAAGAAGGTCTTCGAAACATATCAACAATTCAAAAGAAACTCATTGATTGCTAGATATGAAATAAGTAGTAATAAGTAAAGTGTGACAAAACTGAATGCCATGCCGACAAAAAAAATAGAAATAAAAAGAAACAGGAAAATGAGATCGTCTATTAATTAGTCTAACGATAACCGTTAGCTATTCCTTGAACCGCACTGTACATTCACTCATAGAAAATGCGAATCACCTATCTAATATTGATGACTCGATTGATGAGGATGCGATCAGACGACCTTGATGGAAAGTGGCATGAGGCAATGTTCTCAACATCAAATTAATTCATATACAAGCATACAGGGTGTCCCTAAATGAGTTGACCAAGGAAACAAA